AGAAGCTCAAGAATGTCGCAATAAAAACTACAGAATTTATAGGGAACATCACACAAGAAAAGATTCTAGATTACATTGTAATGAAGATTTATTACATATTCTCCTTGTAACATCTGATCCATTTCTTTCCTCGCTTCAAAATATTCCCAAAAAAAAGTTCACGAGCTTTCGAAAGACTGTATAAAATTATTAAAATAAATATCTTTGCATTCCATATTTAATCCTTTTTATTTGTACGTATTTGTTATTTATATGAAAAATTTATTAAAATATTCATAGTAATGGCAGTAAGAAATTAAATGTTAAAAACAATCAAAAATAAAAAAAACTTATAAAAAATAATAAAAAATTAAAATCTAAAAATCAATAAAAAATATAAAAACCAATAAAAAATATAAAAAAAACAAAAAATGGAGTCGACAACCGCCACGTCCTCGATTCGTGACTTTGGGTTTAGCTGAGAGCGGTGATAACCTTTAGAACGTGACTTTAGGTGAAATAAATTAATATAACCTATGTTTTTGTGATATTATTTTTTAGATTGACATCAATTTCGAACCCGAGATTTCTACAAGAAATAAAGGTCTCAAGATCAAAATTGATGTCGATTTGACCAATAATATCATAAAAACATAGCTCATATTAATTTATTCCGCGTAAAGTCACGCGCCAGACCACTGTGCGACGTACAGAGCGCTAGAAAGAGATCACAAATACGCGGACAACGTTTCAACACTGAGATACAATACAATAATTGCGCGATAACATTTAACGATAATGACTAGGCTGTGGCTTAGGCGAAAAGATTAACGAAATTATCGTACCGCATAGTCAGGGGAGGCGCGCTCATATGACATTAACGCGAGAAAACTGACGCAATCACAATTTCACGTGCGCCGTGCAACTAAAGAAACGATACCGACAAAAATACGTGCCTCCCCTTCAGGAAATTGGCGACCCTACAATTGATGGACGTCCGTCTCACCCGTTTCTCCTGGCCGTTCTCTGCGTTTTATCTCGCTCGGTCGTCTTGAATCCGGCACATGCTTCCTATTCGGTAGCCACAGCATAAGTGCCGGGCGCTGATCCTTCCGGGGACACGCAGTGATCGCTGTTTCCGAGGGGGCCTAATCGCGCCTAATTGGCGCGCGGCCTCGCGTTTTCGCGAATAGCGTGATTTGTGTTGCCAGCGTATCCTGTGCTCTGGCGCGGAATATAATTTGGGGCCACATGATGTCTCGGCCGCTTCGGGAACTCTCCCTGATTTCCTGTATGTGGGAGACTCGCATCTCGGTGGCGGCGTCTCCGTGGTCGATGTCTCTGTATCCGGCCGCGGTTTCAGCTCCGCAAGGGAGGTCTCCGCAAGGGAGGTCTCCGCAAGCTCCGTCGTGGGGGTCTCTCGCCGACACTTGAGCGTAGAGTGGCCATCCCCGGCTATTGTCCTTGCGATCCTTTCATTGGCTGCGCTTGTAATGCGCTGTAATGAGCGACAGAAATTCCGAAATAGAGCGACAATTGTTAAGCGTGGAGCGATATCACCTGCTACGAGGAAATCAAAACCGTCCTGCGATTGACCAAAGCTCACGAGGTCAACATCGTAATGGGAGACCTCAACGCTAAGGTCGGGGAAGGAAGAGTAGACGGAGTTGTGGGACCGTTTGGTCTGGGACTTCGGAATGAGCGAGGTGATAAATTGGTGCAGTTCTGTCAAGAGGAGGATCTCGTCGTCATGAATACCTTCTTCAAATTACCACCCCGAAGACTATATATACACTTGGAAGTCACCGCAGGACAATGCCCTTAACGTAGTTCGAAACCAAATTGACTATATCTTGGTAAATAAGCGCTTCAGGAACAGCATGCCAGCGGTTCGAGCTTATCCAGGTGCAGATATCGCATCAGACTACAATCCAGTGGTAGGAAAGCTAAGAGTCAGGCTATGAGCGGCACGGAAACGTAGTGCAAAGGCCAGGATCGACGTGACCAAACTCAAGCGCGCCGATCTCTGCGAACGCGTCCGCGAGGAACTGATCGAAGGGTTCAGTGAAGTAACGGAAAACGCTGAAGTTAATGCCCAGTGGACGGAGATTAGGATATTAACTAAGACAGGAAAAAGACATCTACAGGTCGACAAGAAGCATGCTGCTTGTCGACCTGTAGACGTAAGTCTTGGATGACAACAGAAATATTCGGCCTTATACGACCAGAGACGTAAATGCAAAGGATGAGACCAACAGCGATATGATGAACTGCAAAGGAGGATCCGCAATTTGATCCGAGGAGCCAAGGAGCAAATGGCCCAAAAATGTCAGGAGATTGAAGAACTTCAGAGCAAACACGATACGTTCCACCTGCACAAGAAAATCAATGAACTGACAAACAAGCGGACTATGGGATACTACTGGACGAAAACGATAACTTAGTCGCCACTACCTCCGAACAGTTAGGAGTATGGGAATGATACATAGACAGGCTCTTTGATGACAATCGAGTTGCGGATCATGGCGCGGGCGAGGCGGATACCGGACCGGATATCCTCAGAGAGGAGGTGAGAAGAGTCATCAGTAAGATGAAAAATGGCAAGGCCCCTGGGCCGGACGAAGTTCACGCAGAAATTCTCAAAACCCTGGGAGAAGAAAACCTCGAACCACTGTCATCGCTGTTCAACAAGATCTACCAGACGGGCGAGATCCCTGACGATTGGCTTAGGTCAACGTTCATCCCCCTTCCAAAAAAGGCAAACGTTAGGCGCTATGAGGAGAAGCGCACGATTAGTTTGATGAGCCATGTACTTATGCTCTTCCTGAAGATCATCCATGAAAGAACCTTTCGGAGGTGTGAGGAGCTGATGACTGATACGCAGTTCGGGTTCCGAGGGGGGTTTGGCACTAGGGAAGCCTTGTTCTCAATTCAGGTCCTTGTGCAGAGATGCCGGAACATGAACGAGGACGTCTTTCTGTGCTTCATCGATTACGAGAAAGTGTTCGATGGAGTGTAGCACTCCAAAATGCTAGAGATCTTCGGTCGAGTTGGTCTCGACAATAGAGACGTAAGGATAATCGCCAACCTTTACTGGAATCAGCGGGCAAACGTGCGTCTCGGAGATTCCCTGTCAGAAGAGATACAAATACGTCGTGACGTCAGACAGGGCTGTGTGCTCTCTCCGATGCTATTCAACCTATATTCAGAGGCAATTCTATCTGAGGCCCTGGATGGATGTAGACAGGGCATCATCGTAAACGGTGAGGTTATCAATAACCTTAGATACGCAGACGACACGGTCCTGATCACCGGAAGCCCTGGAGATCTGCAAGTATTACTGGACCGCGTAAACACAGTCAGCAACGCATACGGCTTACGGATGAACGCCCAGAAAACGAAGTTCATGGTCGTTAGCAGGGAGGAAAGTAATTCAATGTTGTCCGTCGCCGGCACTGCGGTCGAATGGGTGCGGACATATAAATACCTCGGATGCCGCCTAAACGATAAATGGGACTGCATCCAGGAAGTCAAAGCCCGTATAGAGCAGGCCAGAAGAATCTTACCAGGATGAGAGGCCTGTTGTGCCATCGAGACCTTAACCTGAAAGCGAGACTGCGTGTTTTGAAGTGCTACGTGCTCCCCGTACTTAGCACCGTATGGTCACGAGGGATGGACACTGACCAGGACCCTGGAACGGAAGCTGGAAGCATTTGTATCCCATGGACCGACGAAGTGAGAAATACCGAGGTGCTGAATCGGATGAACAACGAGATAGAATTGCTCTACGACATCAAACGACGGAAACTTCAATATTTTGGCCACGTCATACGAAATGACAAATACCGGCTCCTACAGCTCATTATGGAGAGGAAAATTGAAGGAAGACGCAGACCCGGAAGGAGAAAGACATCTTGGCTCAAGAATCTGAGGGAATGGGTTTGGTCTGGACTCCGCTTCTCTGTTTCGAGCGGCTGCCTCCAAAATAGTAATTGCAATGATGATCGCCAATCTCCGTCGCGGAGCAGGCACATAAAGAAGAAGAAGATATCACCTGCGTGCCACCTCTCGATAAGATGCTGTGCGCCCCGGCCAATCTTTTCCTCTCCTACTCCATCCTTGAACCTCTGCTGACTGTCCTTCCTCCGCTGGTCCGGTGAGACGGCTCGTGATATACAGGGTTGCAAAGTAGTTGCCAAGTATCCTGAAAAACTCGCAGCACAACCGCGCACGGAAAACATAAAGAAATACGACGCAAAATATCCGCGAGACGCGCGATATCAAAACAACAAAAAGCGCACGTCTATGCGTCCGCCCTCTAAAAGTGGAAGGACCCAGGACGCCAGCGGCGCTGTTCGGTCGGGTCTTACGACCCTTGTGACGGACGAAACACGTCACGTCACTATATATATATATATACACACATTATGAAATAAGCTGAATTCCAAAATGGCAAAATAACTGAATTTACTTGTGAAAAAGATACCTTTAAACGGCACACATGGTTCACACACTTTTAGTTCTGCATGCGATTTTGAGTCTTCATTGCTCGACAACACACAGAGGTTCCGTGTCGCCACTATTATCACATATTTCCCCCACCACAAAGATTTTTCATGAAGGGGTGGCATAGGGTTAGGCGTGAAGATATATGAGGAATAAGAACCATTAGAAAACGCATGGACACCAATGACCTATGTGTGCCGTTTAAAGGTTAATGTCTACGTTCAGCAGAACACAACAATTTTGCAACCGTTTTATGATTTTCTGCTGAGATAGGATCATTCTTTTAAATCTAAAATTATAATCTAATCAGCGCGAAAAAAACTTCCAACAGCTGCAAAATAAACGTTCTGCTGAACACAACCATTGTCGTATGAATAAATTAATTTACAAATATCCAATGTTGGCTCTTAATAGCATTCAAAATTTATTGTTATATTCTGCTTTTAATTCTAGAATATGGACAACAGATTTGTGTATCAAATTATAACTATAAACATTTATTTTTTATGTTTCAGGTTTAATGGGTTACTGGACCAAAGAACCAGAATATGTTAAAGATCCAAAATTGTTTGATCCAAATCATCCATTCAGACCACATAAATATTAAACAAGCATTAATACAGTATATACATATGTGTGTTATATACAAACATTTGATAAATAAGACAATTATAATTACGTAGCATCAACAAACTGCCTTATACAAGTAAAAAAATGTATATTTATGTTGAATTAAATCTTTATGTCCAATAAAGTGTGTAATTATTCATAGCAAACAAGTTATTCTGCAGTACTAGCATTACTGAAGCAAGAACTAAATATTGAAATAATTTTTCTAGTATTTTTATTGAATATTACATTATATACATGAATCTTCTAAAATACCATAATATTAAAAATATTTAGTTATCCTATTACACAGTGCGACAAAAAAAATCACTTTCTTCGAAGTGCGATAGTACATTTCCCAAGGATTTTTTGCGCTGAGATGATGCCGTTGACAGAATATGCCTAACACGTTAGGATTTTGAGTAAATTGGAATGAAAGGGGCCAAAAATGGCGTTTTTTTGCCATTAGTCGCATTCAGCAGACTCGGAGGTATATAAGATGGACCCAGCATCAGCTATGTACGAGCCTGGCTTTGGCAGAACGGTGCGAGAGACAAAATATCGGGGCAACCTATCCTTCTCTGCGCGCGCATCTTGACAGCAAACTTACTTTGGGGTGCGTTCCGAGTTACGCATGAAGCGCGTGAACTGCTATACTGATGCGCAATGCTTCGAAATCATTCCGTTTTTTCAATGCGCGCATAACACGCATGAAGCGCTTGTGAATTCGGATCGGTTTCCTATGCAAGCTGTGCGCTGAATGGACTGCATTGGGAATGTTAAAAATGGACGATTGCGATTCATTGATTAGTTACAAAGATACAGAACAAATAATTTTTTTTTTTATTTTTAGAGATGGCTTAAGAATATAAAACATAAATAATAAGGAGCATACAGCCACAACGCAAGATGTCTTTAGCAAAAGTCATATATTAAAAAATTTGAATATAGTAAAATAGACGTTTCGGTCAAGTCTTGATGATCATCAGTACAATAAGAATATAAACGATATTACAGAAATTAAAAAAGATGTTAACAAAATTGTTTGAATGTTATTATTCGCTATTCCAGAAATGACGGTGACATAAAATTACATTCGTTTATGAAAGGAAGTTTTTTGCAATATAGATTCCTTGTTACTTGGATCTTTTCGTAAGCCTTTGTAGGGTAAATACGGAATTTCCAGATTCCATATTTTGTAACATCAATCCTCGCAAGTATAATTCGGAGTCTTTAATGTAAATTCGCACAGAATTTTAAAAAACTTTGGTACTCTAAGAACTATTTTATGGCACATTCGATACATATGCACTGACACGGTTCTAGTGCTGCCCTGACACGGTACTACTCTGACATAGTGCTGCCCTGACACGGTACTACTCTGACATGGTGCTGCCCTGACACGGTACTACTCTGACATAGTGCTGCCCTGACACAGTGCGAGTACAAAACTACACTGGATTGACAAAAACATGCAAAAACGCGTCGAATAAGCCTAATTTCATCGATTTTTTAGCTGAGGCAGCTATTCTGTATAATACCAATAATTATTACCAACAATAATTACCAATTATATACCTCTTGGTCTGAGTATTTATTCACAATGTCTACATAATTTTTAACTTTCGGTTTTTCTTCTTTTATTAAATATAATATGTCTTCTATTTCGTCCTCGCTACTTGTTTTTAACAATTCATCTATAATCATAAATTTTATTAGTCTTTCTTTATCCATTTTGTAATTTTTTTTGCCGCCTAGCTAATTCTGTTTGTCCGAACAGTGAACACCAAACTGCACTGACAAAAATGTCAGTGCAACATTTCTTGAACTCGTTCGGTTCATTCGGTTGATCCGAATACAAATTCAGCACTACACTAGGTCAGTTTTCATTTGTCGAATACGGCAATCTGAACGCACTGATACGGTGCGCACAATCCGAATGCGTGGCACCAAAAAAGTTCGCACTCAGTGCGCACTAGTGCAGTCTACCGAATGTGCCATTAGATACTATCAAAAATAGTTCTTACCATCAAAAAGTTTTTCAAAACTTAAACATTAATGGGCTAATGAGAGTCACAGCTGCGGTAATTCGTGCGAGAAAGAAA